TTGTAGTCCGTGGTTCGGGCTACGATTTTATGAGGCTGGGCTTGTAAAGATGTTGATTAGGGGATATGGAGGTTCGGTTAATCTGGTTGATTTTCTGTTTCATCGAGTTGATATCATTCAGGACGGAAAGGATGGGGCCTATTTGTTTATCTGTTTCATGTTTTGTACGATCATGCGTGTTTGGAAAAAAATTTGGTTATGGTTGATGATTTGAATTAATGTCCAGTAGATTTGCATTGTTGAGCTTGAGTTAGGTTTGCCATATATTTGGATTGTGGAAACTATTAGGTTTTGGGAGCTGTGTCTCCTTAAATGTGGGCAATAGCACAATGAAATAGGTCACATGTTATCGCGATGTAAAAGTTAATGAACTAGCAGGTACTCATTGGGTAGTTTCTTGTGGTATGCATCAGTATTAACGTCCAACGAGGAATCTGTATTGCGGTTAGAAGGTTTTAGCTCACTTGTACATCATCCCTTAACATGCATTAGAGTTCGTACTATTGGGTAAGGGTAGTTACTTGTAAATACTAATGTGTTATAAGACTTATTAGTTGTTAGATTAAGTGAGCAGTTATATGTCTGCTCTTAACTTTCGTGCTGTTGGGGTCCACACACGTTGCATGCTGGTCGATGTCCAAGAACCTTTCAAATCTAAAAGAAACTGCATGAGTAGTCATTATCTGCCTTCTAAGGAAACCTTATCAAATAATAATGTCAGGGTGATATTTAATGAATTTGATAGAAGGCTTGGACTGGGAGAATTTACATTACAACGGGATATCTAATAACCTTGTTGACTGTAATATCTTTCCACGTGTTATTGCATGAGTGCACATATGACTATCCCTTGCCCTTGGTTAGTCTTTCTTCCTTTTTTTTTTCTCTCTTTTTTTTTTTTCCTATTATTTGGATGACAGTTGCTTCAGCTTATAAGCTGTGGCCATCTATAATTATGTTTTGATCTGTTTTTCTTTTTTCACGAGATACAGTACCGCCTATAATCGTTCTTGTCCGTTTAGCGGTTTCTATATTCATGGCAATGGTAAACTAATTATGTCATATCACGATTCTATCTCTCTATCACTATTGAAGGATTCTTTCATTGTCTATTTTTTCCCTTTATATATTTTTTTTAATTCATTTTTTAATTTTCTGTGAAAAACAAACTGTTACTATCACTCCGACCTTACTTTTAACTGAGCTACCTCTGGCATTATTTCCTATTTGGAAAAATGCACTTGCATGATATCTTATGCATATATGCCATATACAACATGTGGACATATATGCAAGCTTAGAGGTAAAATTAGATCTGGTGAATGGCAGTACCCACTCTCACGATGAATCACTGATTGTTACTCAACACATCTTTTATGCTGCAGGTCGTCAGGCTGGATGCTCCTCAGATACTACTCAAGATCTTCCATTCTTCATTTGAGGATCTTCTAACCAAATTCTTGAGCATCCGTGCACGAACCTTCTTGATCTTCCATGAGTTCCCAACAACTTAAATCAGTCACCGCACACTTGATGATGGCAGTCTCTCACCGGACGTAGGAGTTTCTCTTGTCCATGCTGTGGGAGAGCATGCGTGGTATCCGTGCCTTGGGTAATTAATGCCCATAACAAGAGCTGTTGCTGATGCGCTTGGCGTGGTGACAATCTGTCTGGTGGCCGCACTTGTCCTTGTGGGCCTATTTTGCATTGTATACTCCTTTTATTTCCGCAGCCTCGTCCAGCTCAGCTACTTCAGTGGTCCCTGGATTATCCGCATCACCTACATTTTCTTTTCCGTCTGGTGGGGTATTGGTGAGATAATCCGGCTTAATATCTGGAGGCATGACGGTAGGTCCCTCGACAGTTGGCGGGATAATGTCTGCAAATGCTACATAGTCTCAAACCTGGGATTTGCGGAGCCGTGCCTCTTCATAACTCTCATTTTTCTCCTCCGCGCATCCCTGCAGAGTTCAGGCACTTTGGGCCTCAAATGGAACGTGAAGACTGCCGGCTTCTTGCTCCTCTACGGTCTCCCCATGTTCATTCTCCAGCTGGCGGTCATCCTAATCGGGCCAGAGTACAGTCGGGACCACAACCCCAGATTGCCGTCTTATTTCATCCAAGCATCTGCCTTTTCTTCTTCCGAAACAAATACTAAAGTCGCCTTCTGCACTTACCCATTGCTGAGCACTGTGTTTCTCGGCCTGTTTGCGACCTTCCTGATTGCGTACCTTTTCTGGCTCGGCGGGAGGATTCTTCATCTGGTAATCAACAAGGGCTTGCAGAAGAGGGTGTGTACATTGATATTCTCGATTTCTGGTTTTTTCCTGCTCAGGGTTGTTTTGCTAGGTCTTACTGTGCTGTCCGACCCGGGGAAGCTCGTGTTTGATGCAGTAGCCTTTTTGGCATTTCTCTCCCTTTTGTGTTGTGCGGGTGTGGGGATTTGCATGCTCGTGTACCTTCCCGTTGCGGATTCTCTGTCCTTGAGGAGTTTGGAGAGGGATATCGAGGCTAGGCCGGGGGTGAGTGAGGACATTCTCTCGTTGCTGACTAATCAGAGTCCTCTTGAAGGGAGTCTTGTGAGTGGTGGTACTCCCGAGAGGAACTCATCCGCCTGGGGAAAATGCGGGTCGATATCTTTTCAGGCTGTGGAGAGGGACGAGCCAAGCGGGTCGGGATTTGTCGAGCTGAGCATGTTCAATCCTGATCAGCATTAGGCGTTGCTGAGGCTTGGCCCGGTTTGGTTCTGACGGTGATGATTTTTTTGTGAACTCAAAAAACTTTGTAAAGGATTTAGCTTTTTTCTTTATAAATTTTCCTCCCTTTTTCCTGTTTGCTTGCTCCCTTCTTTGTTTTTTTTCTTTAAAAATAGTGATTGCTAATTTTTGTTTTGGGTCTGAGGTAGTTGTCTGCTTGTTATCCCACCTTATTTTTTACGGTGGCACACTGGTAATCTGTATCTCTAAATGTGGCTGTGATGACTATTTTACAGCTTTTGCAAATGATGGTAATCCCAATTTCGTAATTTTATTGATTTATCTATTTATTCTTAATTTCGTAATTTTATTGATTTATCTGTTTGGGTGCATGGTGGTGTCGTAGTTAGTCTTTTGAATAAATGGACTAATGGAGTCGGAAAATGAATTTTGCTGACTCAACCAGAAGTCGAATTTAGTGACTGGACATTATGAATGGAGTTTAATACCACAACGCATTCACGATTATCTCTAACTTTCAATAGGAGAATTTAAATCTCAAAACGATAATAACATCAAAAAAGACAAAAAAAAAGGAAAAAAATAGAAAAAAAAAAAAAAGATAAAAACACACAAAAACTAACACAATAACTATAAAATTAAGCCCGCCAAACAAATGCACCAAGCAATCTCGACAGCAACAATAAGGCCGACCACCAAAACAGGCCGGTACACGGCCCAAATTTCAACACTAGGATCAAGCGTTAATATGTGAAACAAAAAATGTATTTTCGAGGCCTTGCGATCTTTTGCAGCTAATACATTTAGTGCTTGTTTGCTTCGCGAGATTAGGCAGGATATCCCACCTTATCCTAGCCTAATCTTATGTTTGGTTCACTTGATTGAGGCTCGCTTGACTGACTACGACTCGGGATAAAAAGCCATTTTATCCCCTTATGTGATTAATGAATCCGCAGGTTTGGGTTGGATTACATGAATTTTATTGCCCCCATCTTTACATTTTTCGGACATCATTAACCCTCAATAACTAGGTAATTACAAGAAGACCGCAATGAAAATCCACTGAAATTGGGTCACCATTTTCTGAAACTCTAGTCCCAAAAAAGAGAGACAGGCGACGAGCCGATGACAATGGCGCTCTAAAGGTCGATGATGCAGCTTCTCCCTCGTCAGACTCATCATCACTTTTTCCACCTAAAGGAAGCATAACACTGTTTCACAGTCCAACGCGACAGTGTTATATTTTGGTCAAAATAAAATTAAAAGGTAACATGCATGCCTTACATGTTACACATTACATCCATGGGTGTAAGATCAAGTTTCACAAAGTTGAAACATATTGGTATAATTAATTTGATTAATTAATTAATTAATTAAACATATGTTTCATCTCAAGTTTAATGGTCTTTCATTAAATAAGATGAGTTGTGAAAATAAGTTCTTGTACATGTAACCATATGGCAAATGACACCTATATATATATATATATACTTCTCTTCTTTGTGAAACCTTATGAAGAAAAGTGAGAAGACTTGATCAATCCCAAAACCCATTTCTATTTTGTGTGTTCCCTAAAGATTTTCAAAAGATGGAGGAAATAGAGTTTTTGGAAAAAGTTCCAAAGAACTCGTTTGAGTTTTGCATATTATTTTATAAGGGTTCTTGAGTGAAATATTGAATAAGACAATTTGAGTGCATCTTTATCTATTGTTAGCTATTATTTTCAATAATCAAAAACTCTATTTATATGGAGACGGAGATGATCAAGATTATGAACCAAGACCTTGTGAAGTTGGATAGGTTTCATGGTTCGAACTTCACAAGGTGGCAAGACAAGGTGAAATGCTTCCCACGACCCTCAAGATATTTTACATCCTCGATCCTACATTAGTTCCTCTACCAAAGCCAAATGAAAATGATACGCTAGAAATTGTGGTTGCATGGAAGAAAAGAGAGGAAGACGAGTTAATATGTTGGGGGTCATATTTTAAATGTCTTGTTTGATAGGCTATATGATCTCTACACCAATAATTCAGCTAGAGAAATTTGCGAGGCTCTAGAAAATAAATATAAAACCAAAGAAGAAGGTTTAAGAAAATTTCTCATTTCCGAATATTTTGATTTCAATTTTTTTGACGAAAAACCTTTAGTACATAAAATTCATGAGTTGTAAATACTTGTGAATAAATTTAGAGTCTTAAAAATTGAACTTCTAGAGGCTTTTCAAGATGGTGCTATTGTGGCTAAATTGCCATCAAGTTGGAAGAGTACCGGAAAAGGATTCTTCACAATAATGAAGATTACTCTTTGGAGGAGAATCAAAAGCATCTTCGTATTGAGGAAGAATCGAGATTTAAGAGATAAAATGGATGATGAGTCCAATGTGGGACGAGCAAAGAAAATGTAGTTTCAAAATCAAAATATTTTGCTGATAAAAATTTTAAAAAATTCAATAATGCTTTCGGTCCAAAGAAAAACCATGAAAAATTCAAAAGGGCGAGAAAGGCTCTTATTTTGTTTGTGGAAAACATGGACATTTTGCAAGAGAGTGTAAGGACCGAAAGGGGGCTGAAGTGTATGCAATTGATGATGAGATCGTTGCAACTTTAAGCCATGTATGTGTTGTCCATGGGAAGGTACAAGCATGCTGGCATGACACTGGTTCCACCGTTCATGTTACCTATGACAAATCTCTTTTCAAAACCTTCAAAGATGCAAAGGGTGATCAAGAAATTCAATGGGAAACGAAATAAAATCGAATGTGCTAAATAAAGGCACAATTGAGATTGTTTTTACTTTGAGAAAAAAGATTACACTTATTAATGTGTTGTATGTTCCCGATATGGATAGAAATCTTGTCAGTTGTGTTTTACTTGGAAAACCAGGTATACAAGTTGTGTTTTAACAAAATCTAGGAAATTTGTTGGAAAATGTTATTCTACTGATGAGATGATTAAACTTTATATCGAAAATAATATGAATACAGAGTCATCTACTTATCTTTATATGTGTGACTCAAACTCTTTGTCATTTTGGCATAATAGGCTTGCACATGTTGGTTTAAACACTATAGAAAGAATTGTTAAAAATGGTTTAATTAATTGTGGTATAAATGAATTTACAAAATGTGAAATATGTGTTGAGTCTAAAATGATCAAAAAGCCTTTTCAAAGTGTTGAAAGGTCATCAAATTTGTTTGATTTAATACATAGTGATCTTTGTGAACTTAACGGTGTAAAAACTAGAGGCGGCAATAGGTATTTCGTTACATTCATTGATGATTGTTCAAGATTTACCTCTGTGTTTTTATTAAAAAAATAAAAGCGAAACTTTTAATGCCTTCAAAGTTTACAAAGCCAAAGTTGAAAATCAATTTAGTAAAAGATTAAAATTTTGAGAAGTGATAGAGGTGGTGAATATTTCTCAAATGAATTTAAATTGTTTTGTGAAGAAAATGACATTATTCACGAATGTACAACACCCTACACACCACAACACAATGGTGTAGCAAAGAGAAAGAATCGAACATTTTTAGAAATGGTGAATGTTATGTTATTGCATGCTAAATTGAATTTTGAGTTGTGGGGTGAAGCATTATTGATTGCGTGTCATATTTTGAATCGAATCCTTTGAAAAGAATTAGAAAATCTTCGTATGAGTTATGGAAACGAAGGAAACCTAATATAGGTTACTTCAAAGTGTTGGGGTGTCTTGCATATTGTAAGAAAACAGACCTAAACAAAAGAAAATTAGGCCCGAGAGCCATAAAGTGTGCATTTGTAGGCTATGCCACAAATAGCAAAGCTTATAGGCTATTAGATTTGGAATCTAATGTGATAATTGAACCAAAAAATGTAGAATTGTTTAAGAATTTATTTAGTAGTTCTCAAGAATCTATTAATCTTGAAGTGTTTCAAGAGAATGGACCAGAGTGGTTGTTGAGAACCCTTTGGTGCCGGTGAGAAAAAAGTCAAAGACAAAAAAAAAAAATTAAAAAAATCTTTGGGATCGGATGAGATTTATTATCAAAGAATTTCCTTTTATTCAGTAGAAGGAAATAGAGAGGATATTATTAGAAAAATACCTATAATACTTCAACAGGAGGAGGATCCCAAAAGATACAAAGAAGTCATGGATTCTACAAATGCTGATTTCTGGAAAGAGACAATTAATGATGAATGGATTATATTGTATCTAATCAAACATGGGAATTGGTATATCTTCCACTCGGATCTAAACCAATTGGTTGCAAGTGGGTGTTTCATAAGAAATACAATCCCGATGATACTATTCAAATTTTTAAAGCTATATTAGTAGCTAAAGGATTTAAACAAAAAGAAAGTATTGATTATTTCGATACATATGCTCCAGTGAAAAAAAACAACTTCAATTAGGATATTGTTTACTTTGGCATCAGTTCATAATCAATTTGTTCATCAAATGGATGTGAAAACGACATTCCTAAATGGAGATCTCAATGAGGAGGTATATATAGTACGAACAGAAGGTTTTGTTCTGCCAAGAAATAAACATAAAATTTGTAGACTTGTTAAATCACTTTATGGTTTAAAGAAAGTTTCTAAACAATGGCATGAAAATTTGATAGTGCAATTATTTCATATGGATTTTTGACATAAAACGCTGACAAGTGTTTATACTCTAATCATGTGATGACTATATAGTCATAGTGTGTTTATATGTTGATGACATGTTATATAGGATATTATACCCACGGATAAAACGGTCTACCGAACCGGTCGAGGAGGTTGCGCCATAGAGGAATCAAGCTAAATGCCAGGAAGATCGACCAGTCAACCAGTCGACCAGCCAACCAGTCGACCAGTCAAGCAGTCGACCAGTAAAACAGTCGACCAATCCATCACTCGACCAGATAAGCGATCGAGCAACCTAGTCGACCTCAATTGATCGATCACCCTGTGGACTTAACACTTCACGGGTCGGCCCAGTCATAGGCGCGTGTGAAAGCCTCTAACGGAATT